CCCCCGTGGGTGTGGAGCTGGCCTGAGCTGAAGGCCAGGGAGGCTGGGAAGGGACTCCTTTTCCCCCGGTGGTCTGGCTGTCCTTCTGGGACCTGGAAAAGTTTAGAGGCTCTACTGGCAGTCACAGGACATGCATCAAGCCTCCCGCAGCCATTTTTGGGGGTGCCAGCCCCGTGCCAAGCACTTGAGCAGAGGTGCACTCTGATCCCTTGTGGGAGCCCAGGAGGCTGAGGGAACCCCAGGAACCAGAGAGTGGCCTCGGAAAGCTCTGTGCTGAGGGCAGGGCTGTGTTTCAACTCTGGATGGGTGTGTCCTCAGGCCTGGGGCATGAGGATTCAACACAGAGGTCTCAGATCTCAGGGCATGTCCTCCAGGAATGGTGAGCACCCCTGGGGAAGAGCAGGAACGAAACAAATCGAGGAAGAAGGTGGGCCTGTCAGGCTAGGGAGCCATGCAAGGTTTGGGAGAATGGAGGGAGGGCAGAGGGGAAATCAGCCACTCTGGATGCAGTGTGGATGGAGGCTGCCAGGCTGGGTGCTGGTGAGGGAGTGGGGTGGGGCTGATTGGTACTAATAGCCTAGAGGTTATTAAGTCTGAGTTCTCAGGAGACAGTGACACTCCCTCTCAGGAGCAGTGGGCCAGGAACACTGAAAGGGGTGATCAGAGGCAGAAGGCTCAGGTGAATGTGCCTTGGAGGGCTGAGCGCTCAAGACCCGGAGGAGGCACTGTTACTGGTTTGAGTTGGCTTGGCCCAAGCCTTGGAGTAGACTTGAACTTGTCCTGTGGAACCACATTTGAAGAGTGACGTGAGAAACCAGCAATAGCCAGTGTTTCTTGTCGCAGTTGAGTCAGTCACCTGGTTGGTTCGTGGTGGGTGATAAACCCAGAGCTGTCGACTTGATTCCTATTATTAGCGACCATCGATCTTTCAAAGCTGCAAATCTTTAAGGGGTGAGATTGTGGATCGTCTCCTGTGGAGCAGCTGGTGGATTCGAACCACTAACCTTTCAGTTAGTGCAAGAAAAAAGATAAATGGCAGCTGGCTGGGGGTGGAGGTGCAGGGTGGCCTGTGGAAAAGGCAACTCTGTGGAAGCCAGGAGTCTGAAGACCAGCCCATTGGCTTGTGTGACCCTGCCCACCCAGCTCTGAAGAATAAGAACTTGGGCCTTGTTCCCTGCCTACCACTGACTCACTGAGTGTCCCCAGTCCTTGGTTTTTCTGCCTGCCAAATGGGAAGGCTGCATCGGATTAACAGGTTGAGGGTATTGGCGGGTGTCAGGGCCCTCAGCCAGCTGCTGGCTCCTGTCCTCACTCCCTTATATCCTGGGTCTTGTGGGCAGCTTGCTGTGGCGGGAATTATTCATTGCTTCAAGTATGTGAACTCCATGATGGTTCAGGGAACCAAGGTACCTTAAGCTTTAAGAGAAATGCCACTGATCCCAGGGCCTGATGAGCTGAGGATGGAGAGACAGGTGATTACAAGGAAGACCAGGAGGTGTGTGGCCAAACCCTGCCCATGGCTGCCTCCTGGACTCCTCCCTGCGGCGCCAAGGGCCACCCTGGAAAGCTCCTGCGAAGGCCCAGACAGCTTGGCCCTGTACTGTGTCCTGCAGTCTTCACCTTCCACCAGATGGGATCAGTCTCTCTCAGGCTGGCCTCTGATTGTCCACTTCATCACCACCGCTGCCCTCTTGACTGCATCCAGGTCTTACTGGAGCTGAACTCTCTGGCGCCCAAGGACGTGCACACTGCGTGCTCTGCTTCTTCCTCGTTGATACCAAGATTGCCTCTTCTTCTGCTAAATCTGCTCAGTCTAAGCCTGGTGGGATAGCGAAACTGACCAGTCCAATCATGTGCTATTTACCCACCTGGTCTGCATATCCTCATCCAGACTTGTGGTTGTTGTTGTTGTTATGTGCCATCAAGTCGCCTGTGACCCATAGTTACCTGTGGACAGCAGCTCTGAAGCCTGCCCTGTCCTGAGCTAGTGTCACTGCCTCTGACACACCAACCCTCATTATCCCAGCCACTGTATCAATCCATCTCATGCGGGGTCTTCCTCTGCTGCACTGTCTCTCCACCTTTCTGAGCATGATGTCCTTCTCCAAGGACCGGTCTCTCCTGGCCATGTGCATGGGCTAGAAAAACAACTTTGCCTACGCCACTGGTTGCATCCAGCTTGATGGGGAAAGGGGAAAGATTCCCCTCTCCTCACCCTGGAACTGTCTTCTTCTTGACTTTCCAAAGAGTGGCAGAAGGGGACCAAGGAGCATGATGGTCCCAGAGAAGCATGGGAGCCTTGCGGACTGGGTCATGGGGAAATAGGACATCCACAGCGAGTCACTCGTTTCCTGGTAGTGCTGTGCCCGTGTTAATTCTGTGTGTGAGGGCGTGTGCACGCACACACTTGGAGCTGTGCATGTACGATTCATCGACATTCGTCATGATCACTATGTTGTCTAAGTCTTATCATTATCTGGTTCCAAATTTAGCAGAAATTAAAATAAAAACCTCAATGAGTTCCCATTGGGCTGATCCTGAGTCATGCTGGCCCCATGTTGGAGAGTAGAGTGGCCCCCTCACAGGACGTTCATGGCTGTGGTCTCTCAGAAGTGGATGGGAGAGGGAGAGACTCCAACCATTGCTCTTCCGGAGACTCAGCCTTCCTGGATGGAGAGCCCTCCTGTCCCACCTCTCTCGTCCTGATGCCCACTAAGCGCTGGTCTCTAATCATTGCCTGTTCTTGGTCTTTCATGTCAGCGGGATCATACAGTCTTCATCCCCCTTGTGTCTTTTGGTCACTAGACTGTGATCATGTAGGAGATTTACATCCGTGGAAAATGAGTCAAGATTATGTGAGGCCCCTAATGGTCCTTTGGAAGGAGGAGGGGCATCCACTTCCATAATAGCTTGTCTCCGGAAACCCTATGAACCTGGAGAGAGGATGAAAGGCACCCACGCATTGAGGACTCTCCTTCATAGGGTCGCTGTGAGTCACCTGCGACTCGACGGCACTTAACAACAACAACAACAACAACAACAACAACTAATTGTCCTACAGCTTTTCTCTCAGCCTGAAACAATTTCAAATTGAACCCAGCTCACTGTCACTGAGCCATTTCCAACTTATGCCAATCCTGCAGCAGGTTCCTGAGGCTGTGTCTTCAGGCTCCCTAGCTCCAGGCTCGGAGTTTCTGGAATGTGGGTGGGCCTGCGGAGTCTGTGTCTCATTTTCTCTCTCTGTCCCCTCTGACCACAGGGATCTCTGGGAAGAGCCAGATCCTTTTCGCTCTCGTCTTCACCACCAGGTACCTGGACCTCTTCACCAACTTCATCTCCATTTACAACACAGTAATGAAGGTGAGAGGGCCTGCAGTGGGCTTGCCAGGCAGTGGGCTTGTTGAGCAGTGGCCCTGCTGAGAGGTGGGCCTTCTAGGGCTCAGACAGAACAGTCCCTTGGGGACTCAGGCTTCGGTTCGAGCAGCTGTCCTGGAATTAGGCAAGACCCTTGACTTCTTTGTGACTGTCTCATGTACAAAATGAGTACTGGCACCTCCCAGGATTTTGCTGTGAAAGTTAAAGGAGATGTTGAATGTACGTGAGGGCGTTCAGGTGGACTAGCAGTAAGAAGCTGCTCTGTAGTCCTAAAGGCACACGGTTTGAATCTACCAATTGCTCCGCATGGGAGATGGATAGACAAACTCCTCCTGTGTGATTTATTGTCTCTGAAAACCAGAGGGTCCCAACTCTTCGACACACAACAATAGCTGTACATGTACAGTAAGTGTTAAATAGTAAACACTCTAATAGTTAGCCATTATAATGACTGATAAAATAAGCAAAATATCAAACAGGGTTAGCTGTCAGAAAACTTGGCCTTATATCCATCTATCTGTCCTCCCCAAAAGATATTTCTTGTGCACTTACTGTGTGCCAGGCACCATTCTGAAGAAGAGAAGCTAAGCTTTTGTTCTCATGGTACCAATTCTAGTGGGAATAGAGCAGAGCACATGAACAAGGGACACTGGCTAGGGGTGGCCCAGTCCCTCATCACGACCTTGCAGGACAGAACAGATCGGCTCTGTACGGTTGCTGTGATCCCTATGCTGTGAACTTTACAGGGACAGAGTTCCAGATTTTTTCTTTTTTGGAGCCATTGGTGGCTTCAACCCACCAATCTTTCAGTTAGCAGACTGTTTGCCCATTATGCCACCAGGGATACTTTTGGTTAGGGGTAAAGCTCTGTGAATAACTAAGATGGTTCTCTATCAGTAGAACATTTGAAGAATAGTGATCTATTCAGGGGGTATAAAGAGAATCGATGCTTTTGAGCTGTGGTGCTGGAGGAGAGTTTTGAATATATCACGTACTGCCAGGAAAACAAGTTCATTCTAGAGAGGGTGAAACCAGGCTGCTCCTTGGAGGCAAGGATTCTGAGGCTTCATCTGATATACTTTGGGCATGCTGCAAGGAGGGACAGGTCATTGGAAAGGGACATCATGCTTGGGAGAGTGGAGGGACAGAGAAAGAGAGAGAGAGAGAGACCATCGATGAGATGGACTGAAAACAGTGACTGAGGTAATGAGGTTAGGTATCGGAGGCAATAAAGTTGGCACAGGATAGAGCAGGTTTCAGAAAGGCTATTGTACAGAGGGTTGCTATGAGTCGCGACCAAGTCAATGGCACATAACAACAACTATCAGAAACAATTCTCCAAAGAGGTGACATTTAAGCAGAGACCTGAGTGACAGGAGGAGACAGCTATTCAAAGATTGGGGGATGAGCATTCCAAGCAGAAGGAAAGGGTTGGGCGAAGACCTGAGACGCACGGGCCAGCTTGATGTAGAGACAGACCAGGGCAAGTGAGCCCAGGGGGTGAGGGCTGACTGATGAGGGCAGATGGGCAGGCCTTCTTCCTAATTTTGGAATCTGATACCACATTCCAAAGGTTAACTCCATCAATAACCTGCATTATGCAGATGACACAACCTGGCTTGCTGAAAGTGAGAAGACTTAAAATGCTTGCTTCAGAAGATCAGACTATAATCTTCAATACAGGTTCCATCTCAACGTCAAGAAGACAAAAAATCCTCAGCACAGAGCTAATAGGCAACATAATGACAGATGGAAAAAAGATTGAAATTATTGATGGTTTCATCTTCCTTGGGTCCATAACCAACCATTGGTACCAGCAGTCAGGAAATCAAAAGTTATATCGCACTGGTAAAATCTGCTGTCAAGGACCTCACCCTAGTTCTGAGGAACAACACTGTCATTTAAAGACTTAAATGTGCTTGATACAAGCCATTATTGTTATGTGCCATCGAGTTTCCTGCACTGCATAGCGACTCTATGTATAATAGCTCTGACACCTGCTCTGTCCTGAGCCAGTCTCACTAACTCCGACACACCTACCCCCATTACTCAAGCCACTGTGTCAATCCATTTCATCAGGGGTCTTCCTCTCCTGTGCTGTCCTTCCATCCTTCCAAACATGATGTCCTTCTCCATGGACCGGTCCCTTCTCGGCAACATGCACAAAGTGTGTGAGATGGAGTTTCAAAATCTTTGCCTCCAAGAAGAAACTTGGTTTCACCCTCTCCAAGACAGATCTGCTTGTTCTTTTCAAATACTATGCATCTGAAAGATGGATGAATGAATAAGGCTGATAAAAGAATTGATGCCTTTGGGCTGTGGTGTTGGACAAGAGCACTGAACATCCCATGGATGGCCAAAAGAACAAATAACGTCTTGGAGCAAGTATAGCAAAGGTGCTTCTCAGAGACAAGGTTTGTGAAACTTTGCCTCATATTTTATCGGGCATGTTGTCGTGAGGGCATGATGTCCATGGAAAGACATGATGCTTGGTTAGGGGAAGGGTCATTGAAAGAGAGAGACCCTCAACAGGATGGATTGACATAGTGAGTTTAACAATGGGTTCGAACATATTGGAGTTGCTGAGGACGGCACAGGACAGGGCAAGGTACAGATCTGCTCTTCAGAGGGCTGCTGTGGGTTGTGGTCCACCCAATGGCACCTAACAACATTTGGATTGCATTTTAATTGTGATTGGAAGCCAGTGCTTTGAAGCATGACTATCTTAGAGAAGAAACTCAGTGTGTGTGTTTCCGCTCATATACCCCAGGCACTTGGCCATAGACAATTAGAGTGCTTTGGGCTGAGGCATCTTCTGAGAGTTTGGCCAGCCGTCTTTCAGGTGGCATTGCATGGCTCCATGGTACATACCACTAGCACCAGCACCAGTACCCCATGTGGAGTCTGGCGGGAGGCAGGCTAGGGAGAACATGGCATTGCCATCCTTCACTCCTACCTTCCCGCTGGACTGTGTTTAGAATGTAACCAGGGCTTGGTGCAACCACTGTGGAAGGCGGTATGGCGCTTTCTCAAAAAGTTGCAAATAGAGATACCATTTGACGCAGCAATTCCACTACTGGAAATATACCCCAAAGAGACCATAACTGACACCCAAGCAGATATATGCACACCCATGTTTATCGCGGCTTTGTTCACAATAGCAGGGAGTTGGAAACAACCTAAGTGCCCATCAACAAATGATTGGCTAGAGAAGCTGTGGTATATTCACACAATGGAATACTATGCTGCATTGAAAAACAAGGAACTCATGCAATATTATTCAAAATGGGTGACTCTGGAGGACATACTGAGTGAAGTATCCCAGTCACAAAAGGACAAATATTGCATGGTGCCACTGTTGTAAAACAGGACTGACCTTGGGTTTGGGGAGAGACTGAGAAAGATGGGTTCAATAATGTATACTGCATTGAAACAGATGAGCAAGAAAACTGTTTTAAGAGGGATATGTGATTAGGTATTTTTGTCATGTCAGGAGTCTAGAGCAAAGGCTACATGGTGGAGTGGACCTTGGGGAGAGTTTGTAAAACAATGAAAAAATTTGTCTTCTACTTTTCCAAGAGGGTAGTGTACTAGGGAGGAGGGTTGGGAGGGGAGAAAAGTGCAACAATGAATGAAAAAAAAAGTCTCTAAATTTTTACTGAAATTGATAATAAATTTAAATTTAAAAAAAGAATGTAACCAGGGCTGATGTCAATCCAGAATCCTGGGGTGCCATAGTTTAGCACCCCAACAAAGACCAAGCCTGGTTCTTCTGACACAGTGGGTACCTTTGTCTTCACAGTAGCCATCACTTCCTACTCAGAGCATGGAGGTGCTCAACTGAGGGGTCATTAGCTTCTTAGGTCTAAGAGGAATTGCAGACATGCCCCCCCTCTGCCCTGCAGGTCCCAGGACTGTGACCGGAAGGTCCTAGGGCCTTGCCAGGACCCAACCCGGCTTATCATGCGCCTCTCCCTGTTCAGGTGGTTTTTCTCCTCTGTGCCTATGTCACAGTGTACATGATCTATGGGAAATTCCGGAAAACATTTGACATTGAGAATGACACATTCCGTCTGGAGTTCCTGCTGGTCCCAGTGATTGGCCTCTCCTTCCTTGAGAACTATAGTTTCACTCCCCTGGAGGTAAGGGAAGGGAATGCTAATTCCCAAAGGTAAGCATGCCTCCTAACATCCTTCCCTCTCGACTGTGACCCATCGTCATGCTGGCTCCATGCCCTTCTGCTCCAACCATGACCTTTACATCTTCAATCTTAACTTTCCAAGAAACTGGCAACATGCTATGCCCTTCACCAGAAAATGGGCATATGCCTAAAGAACCCGGGCATCGCAGCATCCTGCTGCCTGTGACCTCTGTCTCGGGCTGCAGCGAGATAGCCGGGGCTCAGTCCAGCCAGAGTGAAGGGGTGGGTCTGGGCTGTGGCCTGGAGATGTGTAATGAACATCCCTAGAGACTCTAATGTGGACCTGATTCACGGCCTCAGTGTGAACTGTGACAGAGCCCACTGAAATGTCATGCTTTGTGAAAAAGCAACTTAAAACTGTATATTGAATTTGCAAAGAACATATATTTATCTGCTTAACTGTCTTAAAGGTAGCTGAGCCCTGGGGGCCTGGAGGGTAGGATGTTGTGCTCCCAGTCCAAGGGCAGTGGGTTCCAATCCAGTAGCGTCTATTATTGCCATATTGCAGTCCACTTCCATTTGACTTATGGCCTCTGGAAACCCGTGGGAGGGCTAGCCAGTTGTCTCCAGCTGACCGCAGTGGAGATCATCTCCAGGAAGTGTACTCCTTCAGGAAGGCAAGCTCAGGAGGCGGCCATTCTTGCTCAGCTCTCTGGCCTTTTCTTGGTTCAGATTCTCTGGACCTTCTCCATCTACCTGGAGTCTGTGGCCATCCTGCCACAGCTCTTCATGATCAGCAAGACTGGAGAGGCGGAAACCATCACCACTCACTACCTGTTCTTCCTGGGGCTGTACCGGGCCCTCTACCTGGCTAACTGGATCAGGCGCTACCAGACGGAGAATTTCTATGACCAGATCGCCGTGGTGTCTGGAGTAGTACAGACCATCTTCTACTGTGATTTTTTCTACCTATATGTGACCAAAGGTAGGTGCTGGCGACCAGACTGCTGGCAGATTGGAAGGGAGGCAAAAAAGGTCAAGTTCCTGTCTCACTTCCTTCCCATAGCAGGATGATTTTTAGGAAACATCAAATGTCATTAAGAAAATCATGCAGGCAATAGGCTACTGTGTATAAACACTGTACCCAGGATGGTTGAGAGCTGACATTTAACTGTTGCATTCTTAGGGAATTGTTAGGTGGTGTTGAGTACGACTCACAGCAAACTCTGAACAGATGTCCTGTTCCATCCTCACAATCTGACATGACTGAGCCCATTGCTGCAGTCACCAAGTCAACCCACCTAGTCAAGGGTCTTCCTCTCTTCATGACCTTTCCTAGCATGTCATCACTTGCCAAGGAGAGCCTCTCCATGCTTAGGAAATTGGGGCAAAAAAGAGAACCCCACATATTCTAGAGATTAAGTAAAAATCGCAAGGCAGAACAACTTTGTAATGACAAAGCTCTCTTTGAACCATCTAACATCTCCCATTCAAGGGGAGGGTGGGCTTTCAATTTTGACTGCCAAGAGCAGTTACTGGAGGAGTCAGAAGGGAGACCGTCTGTCATTTTAAACCAGTGGCACACATCAGATAAAAACCAACTAAAGCAGAGGTTGTCAGTGGGAAGACCTAGACATTGGCTGAAAGACCAAAGACTAAGTTTATAGCTTATCCAAGTAGCGTAAGGGAGCTCCAGTGGCCTAGTGGTCAAGAGCTGCACTGCCAACTCGAAGGCACATGGTTTGAAGCACCAGCTGCTTTGTGGCGACAAAGGGAATCATCCACTGCCGGAGAAGCAGCTGGAGGATGGGCAGTGAATCGGCTGATTCCCAAATTGATAGGGTGGCAAACTTGCCAGGAACCAAGCTGGGGTATCAGGGAGCATGGCATCTACTCAAGGGCCTCCTTTAGGTTCAATACCTGAACACCTGTGAGCAGGGCCTCAGGGATCAGTAAACACGTAAAGCTCTCTCCTTTAGTAGTGAATTCTAACTCCGTCTTTTTTTTCTAGTCCTTAAAGGAAAGAAGTTAAGTCTTCCAATGCCAATTTGAAGGTTCTCAAGAGATTGCAACTTACCCTTGCCTGGGCTCAAAAGGTGTAATTAAAGCCAGAAAAAATGCTAAGCATGGATCCCGGCTGAGCAATGATCTTTCTCTCCAGAAGACTTTTCATCAATAGTTATCTCCCACTAAGCCTAGGAGAACTTCAGCCAGGGAGGCCCCTCACACACACATGCTGCCTCAGGCAACTGGAACAGGAGAGGCTGAAGGTGCTGAATTAAATGTTAACTTGGGAGGAGCCCATTCCAAGATGCTCTTTTGAGGACTACTCTCTCCAGTGTGGTAAAATGGTCGAGATTGCTTCAGCTCATCAGCAACCCCAATGTTCGAATACAGCCCTAGGAGTTCTCCTTTCCCAATTATGTTAAACTTGGAGAGTGCAAGATAAATTTGTGGGTGCAATATGCTTTCATGTTGTAGCAAATCAGATCCATTTGTTTTAGCTTAAAACCCAGTTTCACATGCCTCATTCACCTTTTTAAAAAGCGTTTGTGGTGGCCTATACCCAGTGGTTTAACCCTGGCATAATGCAAGGCAGATGACATCAGGACACTGGTTTACATGGGAAAGGGATTCTGTCTTGTAACTTACAGTTACCCTCACGGTTTGGAGGGTCAGGTGCTAACTAAAGTGACTGGCTGAACAAACACCCCTGAATCATGGTCTTGTCAAGCAAATACATGTCCACAAGAGTCCATTTTACTGGACTTAATCCAAGAATTTCTAGGAAATAAAAGATTCACACTTTGTCAAGTTGGTCTTTTTTTATTTTTATACCTACAAAAGAAAACAAGATGGTATCAAAAGGACAATTTACAAACTAAGAATAGTAACATAAGCTCTTAGCATCCTGTGGCTGAATACCGTGTATGAATCTTCCAACTCAAGTCTTAACGTGACGGGAATGTGTTCAGACCAGCAGGGGCATGAGGACGATCCCAAGCCAAGCCACCAACTTTGCTACGTCCACATGAGAATGGGAGGGAGTGGGAAGCAGCAGCCTACAGTTCAAAATGGAATCTTTCCCTAAAGGTGTCAGAACTCATAAATCTGGTTAACTCACCAAAAAAAGGATCTTTCTGCCCATGTTCTGTAGCAACAGCAACCTGAATTACGAGCAAGACATGGAGGCAGAAGACTTCCTATAGAGGTATAGCAAACAAACTGCACTAGTGACCACTGTGCTTGGCCACTAAAGCACAGAACTCTGCACTGGCTGCTGTTTAGATTCTAAGGTGAATGTCCCTGGTGGGAAAGAAGCAGGCAGCCGAGCACACGGCACGTGCTTGCCCAAGACCATTCCTCCAAGTGCTTTTGGAGCTACAAAAGGGTGGTATGTCCCCCTTGTGGCGTTGCTGCATGACTGATGAAACTGAAAGGGGATAATCAGAATTTGGTTGTAGAAATGTCAGTGCTTAGACAAAAAAAAAGAATTTGGGGGTTGATGCTTTGGTTTGAAAACACAGAGCAGTTTCGCCACATTCTTCCTGTGCCTACGTCTACAAGATGGGGAAGGAGGGGAAGAGAAGTTAAGGGCAAGTAAAAGGGGGAGGGTGTCAAAGCGTACATGCACGTAATTACAGTGTTCCGCTGACAACCTACCTGGATGGGAGACAGGCAACCAGATTTTCAAAACCCTCAAGAACCACCCTTTTTCTCTCCCTAAAGAATTTAAAAACGGGAGAAGGGGATACCACAAATATTTTGGTATTCTGATCAGCACCTTAGGTCTTAGCCTAAGAACACAGTGGAGCCTTCCACCATTAGCTACTTTAACAATACTAAAACCGAGAAAAAATTAGAAAAGCAAGCAAACAAAACCTGGATTTGGGAAGTTCCTAGGGCTGTCTTACCTCCCTGTTAGGGACACCCGAGCAGAGAACACAGACCAGGAAAGAGACTACTACGAAAGGGCCAGACTCACCTACCTGCAGATGAAGAAGTATAAGAACTTTAGCCCCCCATGACCTTTCTCAAGCACTACCTACCTGTAAAAAGCTGAGTGCAAAAGAATGCCGAGGAAACTGCATCCAGCAGCTGTGACAAAGCACTGGAGAGAACAGGGTATGAAGAGGGTGTTCTTACCCCTGGAGATTCCGTGTTCAAGAGAAACTGGCCAGAAGGGCTGAGGAGCTAAGAGGCTTGCTTTCATTCTAGTACTACATAGATACGAAGTTTAAAAAGAAAAATGTGCCCATTCTGAATATATTTTATATAATTAAAGGTGCTGTTTACACTGCAGCAGTTTATGAATGCAGGAACAAGTGGTTAATAGAGTCACGTTCCCAGCAAGCATATTCTGTTCACCCAGCTCATGACAGCAGTCTGGATAGAAAGCGAATTTCACAGATGGTCCCTGGTTACACAAGGGGTTAGAACAGGTGGCTTCCACCCAGATGCCGAAATGCTATCTTAACCACTGCAACAAAAACACTTGTGGTTTTAACAACTTACTTTTAAAAGTCAAGACTCAGTAATTCCATTTCTAACCTCACAGTAAAAAATGTGAATTTTTGTTTCTTTCAGTAAACTGGGCCAGAGGGAGCAGGGAGGAGTGAGAGAAATTAACCAACCAGGGATTTTCAAGTGTCAAATGCACCTACCTAACAAGCAAAATGGCCAACATGACAATGACAAAAGCACTGTCTTACGTCAGGCCTGAGGAACCCTTGTCCAATCTGAGAAGCAAATGGCATTGTGGAAAAACCCCTTGTGGTTCCTAAACCAGTCATGTGAACAATTTAAAGCACAGATGACATTTAGTCTGCCACCCACCCCAGGAACCAAGATAACTGGGCTCCCACAAAAGGGCCTAATACCTTTTTTTTTTTTTTTAAGGTGAAAAATATCAGCTCAAGTATCCTCAACATGCAAGAAGTTGGGGTAAAGTTATCTCTTCCAGTCAGCTCACTCTCTCTCTGTGTGTGTATATTTCTTTACAGTCATCACAGACTGGGCAGGCAGAAGAAACCTGGCAGTGAACTCTAACTAATCTGCATGGATGACAAAGCACAATGGGTGGGGGGAAGAAATAAAAAAGAAAAAAGAAGAGAAGGGGGGGAAACCAAGAGACAGAGTGTTCCTTTAACTGTATGAAGTTTGCACAAGTCACTACCACCTGAGTGGTCTCATTTGCGTGAAGGAGGAGGGGGAGGTGGAGGGGGGGGATACTGGTAGGCTGTCTGCCCCATATAACCTATCATATTGGTAGCTCCTGGAGGCTGTGCAAACTGTTGTGACATCAGTGGCTGTGGCTGCTGCCCGGACCGGCCTATCCCACTAAACTGTTGGCTAGTGCTCTGTGAACTTCTCCCAGTGGTGGTGGTGGTACTAGCCCCGTAAGTGCCAGCCCCATATTCTTGGGCCGTATAGCCACTAGTGCCATAAGCAGCTGCACCATAGGTGCCTTGACTATAGGCATATTGGCTTGCTTGTGCTCCAAAGGCAGAATTTGGGCTTCCATAGCCACTTCCATTAGCGTAACCAGCTCTATCGGTTTCACTCCGATCCCGATAGCTTGCAGAGTCTCTTCGGCCACCATCTTTGACCCCTCGCAGCCTCCGGTCACACTCATCCTGATACATCAAATTGGGATTGTTGGCTGAAGAAGTTGTCCGGTATCGAGAACGACCTCCTGATGGAAAATAAACAAAATTCAGTGTCAAATCAGTGCTGCCAAGCTAACAGCAGAGAACACTGCTACTACCATGTACAAAATAATCAACATTCTCCCCTGATCTTCAGCCAAATCAGCTACTAAATCTCTGATGTAAACAAATCCCTAATTTCTATAACTAAGCATATCCAAATGTTAATGGAGTATAAACATTAGAGAATACACACTCAATTACAAAAAACTCATTCTTTAAGGCCCTTACTTGAAGACAGCAAAGTAACAAACAAGCCTGCTCCTACCCCTCAAATCTTAAATAAATTTAGGATGGTAAAGTGGTGTAGATGACTCTTCTTATTTTGAAACCAAAAAGCACCCATAAAACAAAATCAAGCAGCTAAGGTTCATACCATCAAGGAGCCCTCTATCACTCCCCAGTGATTCTAATGCTGTTTCATCTCATAAGCTTTAGGAGTAAAGTAGAAACTCCTAGCTCTATTCAAACCCCACCAATTTTCCAGTCTGACTCTGATATGGAGCTTCAACACGCAAGCTGGCAAAAACAAATTAATAAACTAGTTAACATAAGACACGGACCCCAACTCTGTAGTTTTTGGATCCAACCAAGTCCAGGTTCAGGTTTCACTACAACTCTGAACAGAATCATTACTCTCCTCACTGAAAATGGAAAAACTAGACTAGTCCACCTTTATCTTGAGTACTCATCGTGTACTTCAAAGTTAGTTTTATATTACCTAGACTATTCTGCTGCAAAACAATACATTAAGCCTCTCAAAAGAGGTTATAGTCATTAAAATGGTCCTGACTAAATATCAGCATCCCTAAAAGGGATACCTTGGCAGTACCTGGAAAACTCCAGGACTTACCCTTACCCCCTCCGCCGCCTCCTCCTCTGTGATCCACTAGCTGCATCAGTTTGGGATTGATAGCCTGATTTGCCTCTTCCAGCACCTTGATCAGCTCTCTGGCCTGCTTTAGGTTCCCTGGGGTGAAGAAGGTATAAGCAGTGCCCTTGTTGGTGCTACGAGCCGTCCGTCCAATGCGGTGCACGTAATCTTCTGAGCTATTTGGATAGTCATAGTTGATCACAAACTTGACATCTTCCACATCTTCCACATCAGTGATGAGTCAGTACATACGTTGATGTGGCAGGAAGGTAAAAGACATGCCAACGACAGGTGAGAAGCATGAATGTAGATGACAGCAAGAGGAAAGAAGATAAAGTTACTAACCACTCCGAACAGAAACAAAAAAAGACTCATCCCAACAGAGTAAAAGAGGATTAGTGATTCTTAGGACATGCACAGGTGGTGACTTCTATGGGAATCCCAACCCACCCTGAAACTTCTGCCTCTTCTGTACTCCAATGTACTGACAGAGGCTATACCAAGAGTGGTCTCCAAAGCAGCAAATTCCAGTTCCAGCCTTTTCAAAACCAATGCTTAAAAAAAGCAAGTGGCACCACTGTTAAATTTTAAGGCCAAATCACTTCTACTCTGTTGGGAGAAGCCTGACAAAAATCTATCAGTAATATAACAAACTTACCTTTAAAGCAATCACAGAGCAAAATGAAGAAAAAAACAAAAACAAAACAAAACAAAAAAAACTTCACATATTTTATCACTAAGTTTTCAAGGAGACTTCTTAAGAACATTCAGGTTGTTTAATTTTTGCAATTATAATTTTAAAAAACTGATCAGAGTAAAACATTAAGTCCTTTCCTACTTTCTTGTACTGAAAATCCAAATTCTCTTTCCCTTGTCAATGACCAGAGCACATTACACTAAAATTTCACCGTACTACCAAGCCCAGCTTCTATCAAATGAGATTTTACTCAACTCAAGGTTATTTCAACTCAGTACTTGTGTTCAATTATCAAGCATTGTCTATGTGACCTGCGAAGTTAAATCAATAGCCAGAGCGTGGGAGAACCATGAAACCTTGAGACAAAAGCTGACTGTTCTGTCCACTGCTGGGAATTGAACAGCCTCCTAATGCTTAAAGTATGTAAATGTTAGTGTAATGCTTTCAGCTAACTATATTTTTACCTACTTAAATAAACAATAAGAATATAACAAAGAATCCTAATGTTTTGTGGAAAAAAAAATCTGCATTTTACAAAGAATATTCAGAAAATATCCTAGATAAAACACAGATTTTTGTGATATAAGTAATTAAAAAACATTCTCTTGTTTGTTACCAGACCGATGCACACTCCCTCCTCCTTTGGGAAACCGCTGCAGCCGATCCCGTCTCTTTGCCTTTTATTTTTGGCGGCCTCCTTTCGAAAACTCCGCCTTCTGACACGGGACCACTGGAGCGCGGGGAGCATGCATCAAGGGTCCATGGCAGTGAGAAGTCCCCACACACGCTCGCTCTGTGAACTGGCTTAGATGCTTCTCTGTAGCCCCATTTGGTTGCCAAGCGCCGGAGAACCTGGGTTCGGGTAAAAATTTCAGGTCCTCCAACGCCTCCCCCAAGGATAATTGGGGTGATTGTAGAAAAAAATAATTAATAAAAAAATGTAAGTTACATCCAAAGGGTCAGACTGCATCTATTGCCCAGACTGGATTAATTTCAAAGGGGGAAAGGGGAGAAGATTGGGGGAGGAAAAAAAATTCCGCTATTGTTAAAGGACCTGTGAAGAAAGGGGCATTATGTCTGTTTCTTATTACAATAAAGGCTCCTCAGTCTTTACTGACCCCTAAAGTCCTGAATCACACCAGAAAGACGAGAAGGCAGTTATCACAGGGGGCAGCGTGAGTCTCCGGCTAGGATCATTGATGCAACCAAGAAAAAAAGTTTACAGAGCAGGGATGGACAGAAGATAAGGGGATGGGTAATTATGCCCCAAGAAGGCCACGTCTTCAGCACTAGGACAATGCTCCTCAGTCGATCGCATGGGGTGCAGCTGACCATGAGCTGCAGAGAAGCTGACTTACTGTACTGGAAACACGGAGGAGTAAGTTTTCCTAGCAGAAAGCATCGGGGCACTGGAGACAACAGTTGAGAACTACTATGTGGGAGTGTCAGGAGGGGACTGATTCAGAGCAGGCAGGGTGCAAGTTCTTCATTTTAGACAAGTGTCCTGAGTGCACCCTGGGCAGAAGCAGGATCTGGTTTTCGCCCACCAGACCTGCCCTGATGTCATTTGTGCACTGCCAAAATATTATCTCGTAGTCTTTTAGAGAAGATGCTGTAACAAGTTAAGAAACTGAAAAGGTACGTGGCGGCCAGCTGCGTGGGGGCACTTTTGCCTGAGATCAAAAAGCTCTGACATGGCCTGATTCTCCGATCGCTAACTGGGAGGGGGACGACTAAGTCTAGCCAACAGGCTCATCTAGAGCTGCGTCGGGCCAATGTAGATTTGCCTCGGCCATGGACCGAGTCATCTGCAGCTGATAGCAAAGCTTCTGTTAAAAAACAAAACAAAATAGAAATTCAATACTTTTAGTTTAACAATGTGTAACTTAAACAAAAAAAAAAAAAAGAGAGAAAAGGAAAAAAAAATCTCAGTGGAAACAGAGTACTGGTTTCCTGAGGAGGACTGCAATAAAATGATGGGAATCAAAGAACTTACCTGAAGGGAGCATTTAAGAAGCCATCGCTTGACAGGAAGTGAAAAAAGGCCTGGTGACTCAGCTAAAAATTGCACCCCTGTCTAGGAGGTAGAAGCCTTCACTTTCCAGTATCTTGTAGGACCTTGGTCAGAATTCTGCCATTTTGGTGGGTTTCCCCCTCCTTTTTATTTTTATAAGGCAGCAAACTAAGGGGCCCAAAACAAGCACTAATGTTGAGTAACAAGAAACAGACTCAGGTACCTTCCCTCTCCCCTCATTTGGATGAGTAGGGGCAGGATGAAGAGTCTAAGTTATTCTAACAGCAGCCAATTTGATTTGGTTCAGTAATGGAGGGGGCATGGAGCAAATATATTTTAATTGTCTAGGCAAGATGCACAAAGAAGCTACCAGCACATAGCAAGCCTGTTTAAAACCATCACTACTGAAAGCTTTTATGGAAACTGCTTTCAGGCCTCATCCTCTTCTCCCAACAGGCCCAAGTTCTAACTGCACAGATCCAGACATGACCTCAGAGGGCAGAGACAATGTTCAGTCATGGCTGCAGGTCACCACCTCTGATGGAGGGTATGAGGAGTACAATTTATTAAGGTTTTGTCATGCTTGCAAGTTCAGTTTGAATATTTATCCTCTTTTATGTTAAACATTTTAAGGGAATGGGGTATTTTGCACTTCACTAGGCAAGAAATGAAATGTCAATTACTTTGATAATTTGTGACAAAAATGTTATTTAAAAATTTAGCCCTCTTTGGATGAGAATAACGGGCTCAATAAAGTACCCTTATACACCAAGAGTCACAATGCACAGAAACCTCCAGATGAGTACCATCTTTAAATGACATTATTAAAATAGAAGTCAACTTCTTTCTCAGGAAGGGTGGGAGGAGGGGCTGAGTGCCCACAAACATCATGTCAGAAGACTGTAATGAGGCAATGCAGACCTAACTGTTTAACTAGATCATATTACAGACTCAGTCAATTACGTGTACCGTTAGCACTCACGGTACTAGACGCCCATCAACACCTGGGATAAATTAACATAGGAAAACGAGGAGCTGAGGAAACTAGCTTACAACAGCAAGATTTGTTTTATCCAGCCAATGATCAGAACAAAATCAGGCAGTTACTGCTCAACTGAATGTCTCCTCTCCCTCTAAGGCTTTAAATAGTCATGCCTAGGTCTTGCTGCAGACCAAAGCCTGTTTGTTAGGAGGAGGAAGAGACTTTGAAAATTAAAACAAACAGCAACAAAAAAAAAGGGGTAAAGGTGAGGGGAAAAATCAAGGTCATAAAAAACCTTGGGGGAAATCGCATCTCAGTATTGCTCTTTTAAGTATTTATCTAAAAACACATATATACAACTCTAATTTGAAACAACAATCTTTAAACCAAAAGATACATATATCATTAAGAGAGACACCTATCTATACAAACCTAGCCCTCGGGAGGCTACATCCGTAGCAATGAGGATGGGAGCCTTTCCAGAACGGAATTCTGTAAAAATAAATAAAAAAAAAAACCATGACATGTATCCATGGCAAGTTACATAAGCCAAGTGACAGGTCTCAAAATACATGAAAGCAGCATTCGAGTAATGGTTTTAGAAAATGTTAAAAAACCAAAAACCCACGACACTTACTCAGTAGAGAAGCAAAAGAAAGTTACAGAAATGGTGAAGCACATTTAAAATGGTATGGCAGTTTGTAAAAATTAACTTAATATCCTCCCCCTTAAAGAGTGACAATGAACTTCTTTCCCAACAACAACAGTGATAATCAGAACTGAGAGGCAGGTGAAGGGGATCAAAGGAATGTGGAACACAGGTTAGCAGGGCTTTCTCCCAAGATTTTTTTTTTTAATTTTTTATTATTTTGTGTGCGTGTACCGTCAAATCAGATCTGACTGGTACAGGAGGATATTGCGCCTCCTTCTCCGGCAGAGCATCTGGTGGATTCGAACCGTGTTCCTCTGGGATTGCAGTGCAGCTTCTTGCCACTAGGCCACCAGAGCTCCCCTTTCTCCCAAGATTGAAACGTTATTTCTTAAATATGGCCTCTTCCATTCTACTCAACAGACTTTCCATAAGACCAGTCCTGAACAATTAAAGGACTGAAAAGAAAAAAAAAAACCCAACCAGATTTTTCCTCTGTTTGTTTCTCAGGAAGTCACAAAAGTTGTTACGCTTATATGGGAGAGGTGGGAGAAATTAAAGATGTTAATAAAGGGATGGTTGTTGTTAAGTGCCGTCGAGTCGCAGGCGACTCACAGCAACCCTATAAAGGAGAGTCCTCAACGCTTGGGAAAGGGATGGTAGAAGTTATAAAAAAGGGAGCAAGGGACTTTATCTGCCGCCCAAAATAATAAGGGACATTACAGACCTTAAAGGACTTTGAAGCCATGCCTAAACTGCATAATTAACATGCAATTAAAGCAGAAGGCAGGCAAACAATGGATTAGGGAAAGTATTTGATACAATTGTCTATTTTTGCAAATCAGGTTTTGGAACAAATCTAAAGCCACTCTTTCCTCTATGGTTGTTTCTGCGCTCTAACCGGCAGTGAATACCAGAGAACACAGTATGGAACATGAAGCTGTAGATATTTGTTATCTAGCTCTCTCTGCTGATCTCTGAAATTGAACACAAGTTCGAAAACACAGTTTTTGAACTCACCATTAAGTACCCAATCTCGTTCTGGCTGGCTCTTGTCTCCATGGATACACATAGCTGGCCACCTGTCAGAAGAAAAGTTACTTTTCTTTATGAAGCTTAATAAAGAAAATGAAGCTTTAAATAGAAGTGCTATCACCTAGTTCTGGTAGACTTCTGTGTTCACTTAAAGTATGTGTCAACCATCGCTGAAATAATAGCCAACATTCCAAATACCAACTTAGGAATCTCAACTACGGTACATCATCTGAAGCCAGACAATGAGCTTGGTGCTTCACTCACCCATCTCTGCGCATCCTTCGAGTGAGGTCATCACAGCGTCTCTTGGTCTCCACAAATATAATTGTCTTATTTTCCTTTTCAGCCATTATCTCCTCCATGAGCTGGATCAATCTGAAAACAAGATCAACATCATCATAGGTATAAAATGTCACAGGTATTCTCTATGTGGGAAAGACAAAATTAATTTTTCAAAGTGCTATTTTCTGTTCCTATTACATCCTTTTAAAGTAATAAACTAAGAATCAGGTACTGCTCTACATTTTTATGAAGTAACTCATACCATCCTAACAGCAAGCCTGATTATCCACCCTATTTGAGAAGAGGAACTCAGAATCCTGAAGCCATCCACCCAATACCACACAAACAGCAGAGCTAGAATTCAAATCCAAGGATCCAGAGTCCTTGCATTTAGCCACAATTACTCAGCTAAACTTTACAGACATGTGGAGCCCAGAACACACTATGCACCCCTTTCATTTGGAAGGATTACACGGATCTGGGAACAGTTCTCATACTTGTGATCTTTTTCACTTTCCATGCAGACATCCACTATCTGGAGGATGTTGTGGTTGGCACTCAACTCCAGATTGCCTACATTGATTTGGGTGTAATCACGAAGAAAATCCTCAGCAAGCTGTCTTACTTCCTTCGGCCAGGTTGCACTCCACATCAAGGTCTGCCTGTCAGGCTATCAAGAAAGAAAATTTTTTTTGAGGCCAAGGCACTGCTACAGTTAACGGGCAGCAAGGAAACAAGGCATTAACTTTGCATACCCTGATCTGGTCAACAATTTTCCGGATCTGGGGTTCAAATCCCATATCAAGCATTCTGTCAGCTTCATCTAGTACAAGATAGGTACATCGGCGAAGATTTGTCTTTCCGGACTCCAAGAAATCTATCAGACGTCCAGGAGTAGCTATGCAAATCTCAACCCCTTTTTTTAAATGAAAGGGAAAAAAGACATCAAAACCATACACACCTCACAATGAAATTATGTTTCTAGCCTTATCACTCCTCTATAAATTAGCTACTACAATCATATTTTGAGAACTACTATTTTTCTCACTTTAGTAAAAAAAAAAAAAATCCTTTTTATTACCTCTCTCCAAGTCACGAATCTGGGGACCTTTTGGAGCACCTCCATAAATGCAAGTACTCTTCAATCTAGAACATTTGCCATAGTCATCAGCCACCTGCTGTACCTGCTGAGCAAGCTCTCTGGTAGGAGCCAGAACCAGACACTTTAAGAAAATAAGAGGAAAAAAACCCACTTGTGACATCCATTCCTAATACAAACAGAACAAAAATGAAATTCAAATAAAGTAATCCTCTGGTGTTCAACTTAGTAATTTTAAAGTGTACGACGGAGTGGAGGACTAAAGGGCAAGAAGTAGGAAATAGTCCACTAGAGTGTGGGACGAAAACATTACAACTTATGTAGCATTTACGGCTCAAATGGAATGCTACAGGCACACTCACATAGTTTACACTGATTTATTTCATTTAATGTATGCTATACAAGTGGATTTAAAGATTAAGCTACGTAATTCTTTAAGTATTATAATACTCATAAAATAAGTGGCTTTAAAATATTCCTGCAACAAAACGATAGGTTAAGTATTATTAAAATACACAAATGAACAGTAACAACAACAACAACAAAAAATTGGTAGACCTGATGGTTTTCTAACTCATGTTTGAAGTTCTCCACCAGGCAGATTAGGCAAGAACAGTTGATTTCTGTATGATCAAACAGTTAAAACACGACAAAACCAAGGACCCTTGAGATAAGCGTCATATATACAAAGGACAATGCAAATGTCTGTGTACATCACTGCCGTCAAACTGGAACTGATTCACAGCGGATCCTCCACTGGCTGTGGAACTCCCTACAGACTATCCCATCAGAGCTCTCTCGTGGTTTGGGGTGGGGGGAAAGGAATCAACCTATTAAATGCAGCAGGGGTCAGCTGCTGTCTTGAGTAGGGTTGCAGCCTGGAAACCCTGCTTTAATCTTATCTCTCATTCTGCAACAAATGTACCCACACTCCAACTATGCAGTAAACTCTAAGCACCTCTGCTTGTTGTACATTTAGCTTTAAAATACACTAGAAAGGCTTCTTTTCTTTACACTAAACATTAATTAGGAGCCATAAACAGCTGGTTCCAATGGGCTTACAAATTCATAAAGACAAATTGTCTGTGGTGAGCACTGAATTAAAACAAACCCAAATGAACAGTAAAAGCACACTTTTAAAAAAAGTTTCTATCTTAAATTTTACAGAAAGCATGTAAGTGAAACTTAGCAAACCAGAAAAACCATGGTGTCCATGCACCTGTGAAAATACAAATTACAGTATCTATCTTCAATCTGAGATCCACTGTATAGGACTTCATGTTACGTGTGTTCCTTAACAGGATAGAAGTGGAATCAACACTTACATTATCTATACACAGTATGAGTAATGAGTAGTTCCACTAAAGACGGCTTGGTGGTGCAGTGGCTAAGTGCTTAATGGAAAAGTTGATTGTTCATGCTCACCAGCCAAGCTTTTTAACCACTGGCAATCTGTAAATGTTATATTCTTAGAAACCTCCACTGGAGGTCACTTTGAAGGTTATTATGATTATGCACAGACACAAGAGCAGTGGGGGTTTTGCTTAGTTTGAACTAATATCCAGTCATTTAATACTTGTTGTAACCTTGGGTAAGTAATTTAAAATCCACTACACTTCACAGTTCCTATCAATAAATGAGATTAACATCACTTTCAGTGATAAAGTAGTCTGAGACTAATTTATATAGAGAGCAGTGTGTAGAATAATTATTTACATATAAATAAATTGTAACACTTACAATTGGGCCATCTCCTCTTTCCAAATATGGTTGGTGGTTAATATGAACAATTGCAGGTAATAAATACTGGGGGGAGAGAAAAAACATGATGTGCTTATTTGAATATACCCAAATGAAGCCATTTTACTAGTTCTAACTTATGACTGAAACTGATTATTTCCTAAATAATGAAAATGTTTCACTACTGTCACACATGAGCAGCATACATTTGAGCATATTTATTTCAGACAACTAAAAAGGTCAAACACTACTAATCTATTACTGCTATTAAATTTTACAAAGAACTAAAATACACATAATAACTTCAATAGCATAAAGTTACCAAAAAGACAGACATACCGCCAATGTCTTCCCAGAGCCAGTCTGTGCAATGCCCACCATATCCCGTCCACTAAGAGCCAAAGGAAACCCTTGGCACTGAATTGGAGTGGGCTCTGTGAAGTGCTGATCCATCAACACATCCATTACATATTCTGTAAAATGGAATAAATGAATAATATGTATTTGAAAACATGAGACTGAAGAACACATCATCGTCTTGGAGAAGTGAAACCAGGTGCTCGTTAGAGGCAAGCTTAATTATCACTGAGCCAGAACTGACTCACAGCTGACTCCCACCAGTGTGTTTGCACATGAGAGGAAATTGACCATCGTTCTCTCCAGGTGTTAGATTTGAACTATGAGAGATGTGACTTGGATTAGCAGCCCTATAACCTACAACTACACCAGAGCACCCTCTTAGAAACAATGATGGCTGGACTGCCAGGAGACACCATTCCCTGGGAAAAAACACCATGCTTAGAAAACACAGCTGGCAATGAAAGGAAAACTGACTGACAAATTTCAACAATGGGCTTGAGCACAGCAGGGATTGTGAAGCTGGCATAGGCCAGGGCAAGGTTTTGACCTGTTGCTGTAGGTTGGAGTTGATTTTGCAACACAGTACTTAACAAGGCTCATCCAAGTTAAGATATACCAAGCTTTTACATGTCAAGAGTGCTTTTGTTTTTTGCTCAAGTAAAGGAATACAATTTCTTTTTAAATCACGACACATGAAGTTCAGCATCAGCATCCAAAATGAACAAATAAGGGAAACTACAGAACAATCTGATTTCACATGCAAGCAAGATTTTACTGAAGATTATCCAAAAACGATTGGAACAGCATATCAACAGAGAACTACCAGAAGTCCAGGCTGGGTTTAGAAGGGGTCGCGGTACTACAGATATTGTAGCTGATGTTAGATGGATCTTGGCTCAAAGAAGGGAATACCAAAGGAATGTCTATCTGTGTTTCATTGACTATGCAAAGGCATTTAACTGTGTAGATCATAACAAACTATGGCTGACTCTGAGAAGAATGGGAATCCCAGAACACTTGATCGTTCTAACGCGAAACTTATACTTGGACCAGGAGGGAGTCGTCAGAACAGAGCAAGGGAACACTGCCGATGCATCCTATCTCCATACCTTTTCAACCTATATGCAGAACAGATTATCCGGGAGGCTGGGCTCTAGGAGGAGAAATGTGGGGTCAAGATTGGTGGACGATTTATCAACAACCTGCGTTATGCGGATGACACAACCCTGCTTGCTGAAACTGAAGAGGACCTGAAGCGCCTGCTGCAGAGAGTCAAGGACTGCAGGCTACAATATGTATTGAGGCTCAATGTCAATACGACAAAGATTCTCACCACTGGACCAATTGGCAGCATCAGGATGGATGGTGAAGAGATTGAGATTGTACACAGCTTTAGTTTGCTTGGCTCCATAGTCAACAGTCTTGGCACCAGCAGCCAGGAAATTAAAAGGCGCACTGCCATGGGAAAGTCTGCTGTTAGGGACCTCTCCAAAGTACTGAAGAGCAATGGTCTTCGCAATCACTTGTTATGCATCAGAGAGTTGGACAATGACCAAGGAGGATAGAAGGAGAATTGATGCCTTTGAGCTGTGGTGCTGGAGAAGAGTATTGAGAATACTATGGACTGCTAGGAAAACAAACAGATTTGTCCTGGAAAGGGTTAAACCGGGTGGCTCCTTGGAGGCAAGGATTCTGAGGCTCCGTCTAACATACTTTGGACATGTTGTGAGGAGAGACCGGTCCTTAGAGAGGGACATCATGCTTGGGAGGGTGGAGGGACAGCGCAGGAGAGGAAGGCCCTCTATGAGGTGGATTGATTCAGTGACTGAGATAATTGGGATGGGAGTGTCAGAGACAGTGCGACTGGCACAGGACAGAGCGGAGTTTAAGGCTGTTGTACATAGGGTCGCTATGAGTCGCAAGCAACTTGACGGCACTTAACAACATCATGTATTTTGGATTTCTTTGGTTGGGTTCTCTGCCATATGTTTTGACTATCACTATCAGTCAACTAATAATCTCTCCCTCAAAATATTTAGTCACTGCCTAAAACATCTAAGAATATGAAACATGGCTGCTGTATAGAGTTGAGCTGGAAACAAACCCTAGCTGACCTTCAGAGGGTTTTCAGAGGCAATTAACTGCATGGGAGGAGACTGTCCATCTTTCTCTTGTGAAGCAACTGGTGATGTGAACTACATGCCTTTGGGTTGTCAGTGCTACTTCTTACTAAAGCCACTGAGAACTCAGTAGTCAGTATTTGCCAAATTCTTTGATAAGCTTAGCATTCTTTTTTTTTTTTTTTGAAAGCATTCTTATTTTTCAGTTTCCAAAAACGTAGAGGCAAAGCCCTAGTGCAAATTGGGACCCTCAAAATTGCGGGAGGGGATGCCGCGGAAAAACAAAAAACCCCTCACCAAGCCAAGTTTCCTTTTAAAGGGCAAGAAGGAGGGAAAGATTAAGAATGTTCCAGTAACTAGAGGAACTCAAGTTTCTGTTGTTTTGTGCCATCAAGTCACTTCTATCTCATAGCAATCCTACATATATTCACTCCAAAACCTGCTGTGAAGGATAAAAAAACTCAGGAGCAGGTAACAAGTGAAGACTATGGAAACTGGCAAAATACAACCTGTACATTTGCCGGAAGAAGAAAAATCTGCTAATAAAACCCTCTTACTCAACAGGTATGTTTTTTACAATCAGTGTTACAACAAATATTGAAAAACAAGATGGTTCCTAACTTACAAAGGTTTCTGTTCAGGTTAACTCCACTGAGGTTGGCTTTAGCATTAAGTTGAAGATCTTGTTTTTATTACTGTCCTTTACTATCTGTAGTATTATAAATCTAGTAATTAGTCCTCGGAGGTTGAAAATGTTACAAAGAAACATACAGGTATGTAAACTCATATACCTTTAAAAATAGAAAATTAAAAAAAAGTTTTTGTCATAACTCCAAAAAGTCATTAAGCTGGGCACTACCCCTTTTTACTTTGTAAATAACCTGCCATGTTAGTCTTTTAACCAAAATTAATAATTAAGATTCTGGATTAAAGAACACTTACGTGGAAAGTTAGCATGATGAAAAGCAAATACAGGCTTAGGGCAAACATCGCCCCCTCTCACAGTAATCTCTTTTTTTCGGCGTAGCTCATCAACCTCATACTAGGAAAGAAAATAAAGTTGAAGTTACCAGAACAAGTTATTCTGAAAATGTAAACATTAACACTTAGTTTGACAACCACTATTTAATTACAGATGAATGAAAATGTTGAGTCAAGATTTTTTATAATTTCACTTTAATAATCTTCTAAATTAGTGACATAAATGATAAAACTAGATCCCAGACTGTATCACTTTACCCAGGCAGAAGGGCAAACAGGAATACATAATGCCAGTGCAGTGACAGGTATTTACATCTATTTGCAACGTATATACATTTCTTTAACCTACTAGATGAAAACATATGACTCAGTACACAGTTAAACTTACTGGTGTTAGCCTTGCCACTTCTGGGTGTTCCACATAAAAATTCTTCTCAAATTTAGGGAGCTCACTCAAATCCCACTTCTTTTTACGTAAACGTTCCCCAGGATTACCAAATTTCTTCGGGGGAAGACCACCACCGCCACCTCTGGCTCCAAATCTAGAAATATTTCATTTTTCAAGATTTAAAAATATACCTTAGGCATTTAAAAAACCCACAAAACCCCAAAACCAAAGCAACCAATCACACAAAGACAGGACTCCAGTCTGTTCTAGCCTCTCTCCTCTGTAAACGTTGTGTTTAACTATCAACAATCAGAGACAGACTCCCAGGATGTGATCAGCCATCTTTCAAAAGGATTCTCTTTATTATTCTTATTTAATAATCCCTAATGGGTAATGAGTTGTGTTGCCAACCACCTGCTCAGACAAGATTGGCCATCTTCTCCCACATGGTTTACAGCCTCTGAAAACCTCTAAGAAAGAGTCAGCTGTGAGTTGGTTCCAACTCAACACTTAAAAAGGTAATTTGGTAATTAGGCATATAGGTTACATTAGAGGAAAAAGCATTCTTTGGAAACTAGCACCTAGACTGACAAAAACACTCTGCTGTGGAATCTAGAAGCTTCTGTACATGGTTAGGATCTATCCAGAAAAGCCTGGGAAGGCGGCTTTCAAGAGCCAGAACCAAGTTTAACGACTTCTGCCTATTTTCCACCTCTGCCTTGGACCTATGTTGATTTTCAGACATTTGGTGCTAGCAACTGTGAGTCCATAGAAGAAACCATTACTAATTCATGCTTTGGGGTTGAAAACACAAGATGTCATTTAAAAGATATTTTTCCCATTTTATACACTTTCCCTAAGTTTAAATGAAATACAAATGTAGCTAAACCAGACTGTAAAAAATAGACTATTACTAGAGTTCTAGCATGAAATTGGCTTTCATGACCAATATTTCAAATCTATATATAAAATGCTGGGCACTGTTTGGTATAGAACTAGTACTTCCCATTGTCTTACTCTCTTGTAGGTCCTGCAGTAACTCTAATTTCCCTTTTTGTTTCTAATCCATTCATAACATGATGAATAAATGCCAAGTGAGGAAAAAAATTTATTTGAAAAGAGGAAAAAACTTAAGTATGAATGAGTCTCAATTTCCTGCACTTCAAAAGCACGAGAACTCTTAAGACCCAGGTAGACTGTAAATTCACAAAGCCTGACATCAATACCATATTCTCAGGCTTAAAAAGCTGAATATTGACCAGTCCTCTTACCACCAGGACTTTCATTCTTCTATCTAAATGAAGCACCAATTCTAAATAAGATTGTTTGGTGCTGTTGAGCAAGACTCATAGTAATTCTATGAACCTATCTGAACCTTGTCCCGTCCTGTATCGGCGCCACAATCGCGGACACACTTAAGCCCACTGCCACTGCGTCAATCCATCTGAATGAGGGTGTTGCTCTTTTGCTAACCCTACATCTTTACAAGCATGACTGAAATAGAAAACGAAGTCTTCATGTTACCACTGTCATGCAGATAAGAAGAACAATTTTTTTTTTTTAAGAAAGAACAATTTTTAGTCTCAGTTGAGCTTATATCATTGTTTCCTAGAAGGTGCCATTTCACTGATGCTTTTCCAATTCAGACCTTAAAGAAGGGAAACATAACTTCTAAAAGGTTCCTTCTCAAGTTTATCCTAAGATCTTTTTTTTAAAGGGGCAGGAAGAAATTTCCCTTCTTATTGTCCCAGTAAATTATCAAACACTAGGCTACACTAGAAAGAAATTTTAGAAGATTCTTCTTTGTAAATGCTGATCTCAAAAATGGAAGAATCTTTTATTCTTACAAGAAGTGAGCTCTTTTGTGTGTCATCCTTTAAAAGATCTAACTGCTAATGCACAACAATGCTTGTTTTTACTAAATCATAAAGGAAATTTCATGGAAAAAACGTAGCTATGGGATAAGTGTTACTGTCTGATTTAAAAGCTTTAACAAAAATGGCACCTGACACTCAATATAGGATAAACCCAAGGATTACTCATCTAGACTTCTCTTTTGAAAGTGTTATCACTTAATGCATATATACAGCACAATATTGTGGCATCCACTTCCTAAACAATATGCTTCTGTAAACGATGAACTTTGACAAACGTTAGTTATATAAATGCTTCAGGTCTTTCGTTCATAGGGTCACTATGAGTCGTGCTTGACTCAACAGCATTCAACAAACATGCTTATACCAGTATGATTTCTAACACTATTTAAGCATCTTACTGTTGGGATGTATCCAGATATTTCCGTTGCATTTAATGTTTTACTATCAAGGACTAACGCTATTGTGGCTATTTCTGTGCATCTATCCTGGTGCTGTCTGCAAGGCCCTAGAGTGCAGGACTGAATGTCTGGGCGAGGAATGACTTGACTGATAGGTGCTGTCAAGTCTACTGTGATTTGCAGCAATCCCTGCCCACTTCCACGCCATTCTCACCATCCCTGCTCTGCTTAAACCCATAGCACTCTAACATTTAATAGAGCCTCGCCATCCCTGCTTTTAAGGTGCACTTTACAGAGACCTTTTATTTTGTAAATCAGGTATTAACTGCGGACCATAACTTGTGGCTAGTCGTGTGTGTATGTGTGTTTCCGCCTCAAAAATAGCATTAACCGCAACTGCAAATCAATTCTCACTCCCTTCTGCAGGGAAGCTCACAGATGGGAGAACCTCTTGCCCAAGGCTACGCATATAATGAGCTATCATACTGCTCTAAAAAGTGATGCAACTTTTATAGCAGTCGACAGCACAATCAATATGCATCTCCTAGGGAGCTGCTGCTCCGTGGAGCCTCTGGACGGACTCCAGTCAAGAATGTTCCAGCAAAGCTGCAGCGTTAACACTGCAGACCACAGGCCAGGAAGAAAGGCCGAGGAGGAGAGACTACGCCACTCCCCTCCCCAAAGACCCCCAGGAAACAAAAGCGGCCCCCTCCCCCCACCGCCGGCCCCCTTCTCCTCCCCCGGGGTCCCCTCGTCCCTTCCCCGCGGGCCGAGCCCCTTCCCAGGCCAGACCCCTCTCCCTTCCCCTCCCCCATCCAGGCTAGAACTCCCTCCCCCGCGATTCCCCCCCCGTCGGCCCTTCTCCCCCTCCCCCCAGGCCCCTCCCCTCCCCCCGCAGCCCATTGTTCCCCGCGCGAACGGAAGTGGCCCCGAGCGCGAACAAAGGCCCCGAGGGAGAAGGCGCAGCATCCACCGTCGCCTTCCAGGCCGGCCCTGCACCTGGCCCCCGGCCCCGCTTCGGCCGCCCCCCCCTTCTCCTAGGCCCCCGCTGCCCCCTGGGCGTACACGGCCACGATGGCCGCCCCCGAGGAAGCCGCAGCGTCGCCAAGCCGCCGCCCCCGGCCGGGTCACGAGTGACCTCTCGGGGCGAGGCGCGCGGACGCCCGCGGCCAAACTGCTCGTCTCCTTCGCCGCCGCCAAACTGCTCGTCTCCTTCGCCGCCGCCTCCCGCGCTCGCGAGGGCTCGGCCCGCAGTGTCCGCCGAGGCCCCCGGCCGCCCCCGCCAGGCCTTCCTCCTCCTCCTCCCCTTACCCTCCACGGTCCCGGTCCCGGTCCCGGTCCCCGAAGCCGCCTCCGCGCATGGTCCCGAAAGGATAGAGATCTGGGAGCGGGGCACGGATGGCCGCGCTCTGGAGGGCCTGCGGCTCCGGCCTGCTGACGACCGATGGCGGCGGCGCCTCCGCTGTCGGGGCGGCGGCAGGCGCGGCGCTCTCTCGCTCCGACGCGCTATCTCCCGTCGCAGACGCCACCGTCGCCGCCTCTCTCGTCGGAGACGGGAGCAAAACACAGAGAATCGGGGTTCTGAGCGCGGCGGGGAGGTCTGGCCACCCGCGAATCCGGCAGCGCCGCAGTTGAAGCGTCCCCTCCCTGCCCGGTCACTGCACAAAATGGCGGCGGCCGCCGAGCCCGCTCCAGCTCCGCGCTGCGTACGGCGGGGAGGCTACGTAAACAGCGTCTGGGAACAGCCCCGGCGCAGCGCGCGCGGTCGGGCGATTCCGGACGCTCGCTACGTCGTCGGCGTAGGCGGGCGCCCTCGGAAGAGCGGCCGGTGGAGCCCCCGAGTACGCAACGGGCGTAGACTCGTCGCGGCCCCTGAACTAGGACGTGGGGCGGGGAGGCGCGGGCGCCGCCGGTGCGACGTCACGTTCTTGGCGGCGGAGATGCGCACAATGCGTAGCGCGTTCTGTTTAGAGAATGGACGCTCCTGCCTTGTTCCGACCGCCGCACGGTGGATGTGCCCTTCGCTTTGAGGGACAATAACCGGCGGCCATCAAGTTCCCGGGTCTTTAATAAAGTGTCACACCCGAGGGGGTCGTGGGGCCCCCCGAGTCCGGCACCGCCCCGAGTACGGCGAGATGGGCCTCGCGCCCCGGGCGCCATTTCTTTCCCGCTGTGCGGGCAGCCATGATGGAGGCGCCGGCCCTCCTGTGCCGCGGGCGGTGGGCGCCGTGCTGACCGAGTGACCACATGCCCTGCTCTCCTGGGTCCCCACCGACGTGCCTTTTCTGAACCGAGTCTTTGTAGTTCCCCGAGCGCGGCCCCGTCGCCGTTGTGTTCACACGGGATTAGCTGGTGGGCGAGGCACGTCCTGAGGGAAGACGCCCGGCTGCGCCTTCGCCGCCATTAAACGGCGCGGCGCCGGGAGGCCGCTCCCCGGCTTGCCGATAAAGCGGGGTTCTCTTCACATGCAGCCGGGGGGGCAGACGTGCGTGGGCTAACCCGGCAAACGAGCAAGAAGGCGGCGGAAAACGACTGCTTCTCTAATAGTCTAAAGGGGAGAAGTGACAATGGACGGGGGGCCTTTAACCCACTGAACCCGCTCCCTCTTCTCGCCTTGACGGCGATGCCCGGACCCCGGCTGTCGAGCGGGGCTCCCCAACCTCCACCCTGCGGGCTTCGGCGACCCCGCTTCCCGCAGCAGCACTTGCTATCAGAGATGGCCTTTCCAGGAATGAGCAAGGACTATTTTAAACTTGAATCGCTGCAAAGTTTGCATCTCAGGCTCTTCCTTCCCCCCTTTGCATGGTGTGCAGAATTAAAGTCATTTGCCCTGAGAGGTGTCAGATCAGGGAGGCCAGCGCGCAAGGTCCAGGTGGTTGTTGTTGTTAGAGACCCTATAAACAACAGATCGGAACCCTGTCAACCTGTGTGGTCCTCACAGTCTCGGACACCCTCCGGCCCACCTGGCGGGTGTCGGCCCACCTGGCGGGTGTCGGCCCACCTGGCGGGTGTCGGCCCACCTGGCGGGTCTTGGCCCACCTGGTGGAGGGTCCTCCTCTCCTGCAACCCCCCTCCACCTTCCCAAGCATGATGTCCCTCTCCGAGGAATCACCCCTCATGGCAGCATGCTCAAACTCTGGGAGACATCATCTCTGCCTCCCAAGCAGCACTCTGGCTGCACCTTCTCCAAGACACACCTGTCATTTTGTCTGTCCGTGGCATACTCAGCGCTCTTCTCCAGAACCACAGCTCAAAGGCATCAATTCTGTCATCCTCAGTCACTGTCCAGCTCTCAGATGCACGGCTCATGATCGGAAAGACAATGGCCTCAGTCAAGTGCACCGTGGCCTTCAAGCTGACATCATTACTCCTCAGGAACTTGCAGAGGTCCCTGACTACAGACTTTTCTACTGCAACACGCCCTCTTGACTGCCGTCACCAAGTGTATTGATGGTGGAGGCCCAGGAGCACCCCCAAAACGAGTAGCCTCAGTAACCTTTAACTCTGCTGGCCTAGTGGTAAGGGGCTCTGCTGTCAAGCCAGTGGCATGCCGGTCCAGTCCACCGACAGCTGTGCACCAGAAGGACAGGCGATTGCCTTTGGAGTTTACGGCTTCTGAAAATCTGCTGGATGGTCAGCTATGAGTCTATTCTGACTACACTGCAATTGAGAGTTGAGTTTCCTCCTAAAAAGGGCTTAATAAACTAGAGCTCTTACCCCAGCTTATACGTATGTCCTCAGAGCCTTTGCTTATTAAGATAGATTTGGGGAACTCGTACCTCTGTTGCCTTTATGCAAGCATATATACAAAAACTCTGGCATTTTCCACTCTGACTCTTGTCTCCAAAATGGATTTTTTTTTAGGGGACAGGTGGCAGGACCCTGTTTCTTTGGTGACATTCTCTACTCCTTCCCCCCCCACCAAGCCAAACTGTATCCAGCTTTATTAAAACACTCCTTTCTTTCTAAATTGACTTTCCTCTCCTAATCTCCTAATCTCCTTCAATGGTCAAGACCGTTGCTACAGTCACTGTGTCAGTCCATCTCCTTGAGAGTCTTCCTCTCCTTGATTCAGGCTGTGATCTTTTCTGTCACTTGCAATGCTGCTGCAGAGCTAGACATTGAAGAAGAATGCCAGGAGAACTGATGCCTTGGAGTTGAGTTGGAGAAGAATACTGCGTATCTCATGGATTGCCAAAAGAACAAACAGGTCTTGGGTAAGGTGTAGCCAGAGTGTTCCTTTGAGGAAAAGATGATAAAGCTTCATCCTTGTGTATGTTGCTAGGAGAGGCTATTTATTGGAGAAGGACATCATGCATGGAAAAGGAGGTTGGCAAAAGAGAGGAAGATCTTTTTTTTATATATATATTCTTTTTTTAAATTTTTACCATTTCATTATTTGTGTGTGTACTGTCAAATCAGATCCGACCTGCACCGGAGGAGATTTTCCCTCCTTCCCCGGCAGAGCATCTGGTGGACCCGAACCACGCACCCCCAGGATTGCAGTGCAGCCCCCTGCCACTAGGCCACCAGAGCTCCCCAGAGAGGAAGATCTTAAAGATATTGACTGACAGAGTAACTGCAGCAATGGGCTTGAGTATGACAGATGGGGAGGATCTGTTGCTCATGGGGTCACCATGATCTGTACTCAATTAGATGACTCTTAACAACAGCACTACTGCCTTCAGTCATGGGAACTGTTGGCCCCCTGGTTTTCACGCTCTCTGCTCTATATCATTCCTGGCTGTTTGTCTCTTTATTATAAAATTATTCTATTCTTTGGGACCCTCTGTCTGCAACATTCTGGCGCCCGAACAGGGACAAGGTGGTGGTTTTTCTTTGGATAAGGTGGTGGTATATCTTTCTTTCTCTTTTTCGAGCAGACACCAGGAACCGAAAGGGAATTCGCTCAGGGTAAGTGAAACTTTTGGGAAAATTAAAAACAGGGTCATGAGAGAATCTTCACTCCTTGGAAATTAAGGATAGAATTAGAAAAAAATTTTCATGAGGATTCTCTCACCCCTTAAAGGGCAAATTTAAGGGAAGAAAAAGATTTCAAGGGGACTATACCCCACCCTCTGAAAACATATTAAAAATTCAGGGGTAGAATTGATAAAGAGTCATGGGGGACGCCCCATCCTCTGAAGCTCAATATATTTCTTTTGTAAAGAATTACTTAAGAGTTCAGGGGTAAAAGTAAGAGAAAAGTAATTTTTGCAGTTGTTTCAGTATGTATAGTGACATTACAGGTTAAAGCCAATAGGTAGAGCATAGTCAAACTTTAAAATTTGGTATGAGAGATTTACGAATAGCACATAAAGAACAAACTCCTATTGAATTTCAGCCAGTATGGACTTTAATAAGAATAGTAACTGTTTGTATTGATTGTTTTAAGTTTGTTATTGTTGTTTGTTGTCTTATTAGGTTTAATGTAATAGCAGTACTTTGAGCTCATACAATTTAAGCAAGAGACTGAACTTAAGAGAAAAATCTTGATTTGGAAGATGAAGTAAGCAAAGAATAAGTTCTAAAAATTGATAAATTTGAAAGCTGCAGCTGAAAAAATTTGGTTGTTGTTGTTGTTATGTGCCATCAAGTCGTTTCCGACTCATAGTGACCCTATGCACAACGGCCCTAAACCCTGCTCTATCCTGTGCCAACCGCACCACCTCTGACACACCCATCCCGATTACCCCAGTCA